TGGTTTTCACAAAAAAAAACACTGTTGAAAACCTTCTTTCGCAGAATTTTTTTTTTTTCATTTCATGTACTAAAAAGTAAAAAAAAAATGGGAACATTGATTCGGCAGCATGACTTGCTTGGTTATAATTTACTGGTTTTTGCTCTCTTGGGAAGTTCAAGCATCGTTTGGAACATGTGTTATATAATTTTCAGCGTTATGTTTCTTCTGTTTTTATAGTTTTCTATACACTTACCATGTCTTACATTATCTGTTTGAAGGCGCACCCTGATATATGCTTGATCTTTTTGTTTCTCTTTCAATAATCTGATGCTGACTCTTGATTTCCGTCGACTTAATCCGACTGCCTATCTGGTGCAGTATCCTGGCTACATAGATGCTTATTTGAGGCTTGCTGCGAGTGCAAAAGCTCAGAACAATCTTCCTCTGGCCATTGAACTGGTCTACCACCATTTTTAACATCAATTTTTATCTTACCTGTATCAGTTGGTTTGCTCTCTCTGACCGTGTTTTCCTACTTTTTTTTATAGGTGAATGAAGCTCTGAAAGTGGACGATAAAAATCCAAATGCGTTGTCTCTGCTTGGTGAATTAGAGCTTAAGAATGATGACTGGGTTAAGGCAAAGGAAACCTTTCGAGCTGCTAATGATGCGACTGATGGGAAGGACTCATATGCTATTCTTTCTCTGGTATAGATTTTTATATCTATTTCTCTTTTGCATTTCAGAATAAATAAGAATCATCACATTAAGTTCCTTTTGGGTTGTTCAAAGTACATTGCATGATCATATCAATGAATCGATTTTATATGAGCACCCCACATCGAAAAATGGTTGTCCCCTACCTTTTCTATGGGTCCAATTTAATTAGCTATTGCTGCGATCTGGGCTCTCTTGTACAACACTTCAGTCAAGATAACGATAGCGTTCTTTTTAATACATGTATGGAAGACCAGCCCTTCATTCTGTGTGGTTCCTCTACCAGCAGCCTGGGGATGGCTGGTTGTCTAGCAGATATCTAACTACCTTTGAGTGAATTTTTCTTGATAATTTAGTGTGATGTAGCCTTAGATGATTGGAACTATTATTCTACAAGCTTTTTTGTGTGTGTGTGTGATATTTCTTCCTGGAATGGTTTAGGGGAACTGGAACTATTTCGCGGCAATGCGCAATGAGAAAAGAAATCCAAAATTAGAAGCTACACATCTGGAGAAGGCCAAGGAACTCTATACTAAAGTATGATGTTTATTTTTTCCTTTCTCTCTTCGCATTATTAGTATTTTGGGAATATTTCCTACTAGATGTGCTTATGGGGGATTTTTGGGTGGAGGATGGTGGACATTTCAAATTCTTCTTTGCTCATGTACTTCTTTGTTATTATCTGAATTTTGTTAAGTATGGGTTTTGGAAATGGAATTACATGTGTGTATTTTAGTTAATTCTTGAGGATAGGGAGTTTTGGGATAGCACAGTGCATTAATAATAGAGTGAGATGTAACAAGTAGGTTGCTATTAATTCAGTTATCTTCTTGATAAGATGCCTGGGGAAACCTGAACCTGTTGTTGGAATTTTCTATGCTAGTATCATTGCATGCTTAAATAGGCGATGTTCTCTTTCCATCAACGCTGATCTTCTTACTCATTGTTGATCGTTGGGATTAACAGGTCCTGACTCAACATAATTCCAACATGTATGCTGCCAACGGTTCTGGCATAGTATTAGCAGAGAAAGGCCAATTTGATATTGCCAAAGATGTTTTTACTCAGGTCAGCTTTATTATTTACTGTTCATGGTTTAGGCTAGCTATATTCTTCAATTCATTGGAACGTTGTGAATGTTTTAGGTTCAAGAAGCTGCGAGTGGAAGTGTATTTCTTCAGATGCCTGATGTATGGGTGAATCTGGCTCATGTTTACTTTGCTCAAGGGAATTTTGCCTTAGCCGTGAAAATGGTTTGTCATTTTATATAGTTTTTTTAATTTTCTTTTGGTTGGTTTCTGCGTTTTGCTTATGTATTCTGTTCATTAATTATGTTGTTGGCAGTATCAAAACTGCTTGCGGAAGTTCTTTAACAACACAGACTCTCAAATTCTTCTTTACTTAGCCCGTACCCATTACGAGGCTGAGCAGTGGCAAGAGTGTAAAAAGACACTATTAAGGGCCATTCACTTGACTCCTTCAAATTACACATTCAGATTTGATTTGGGTGCTGTAATGCAGAAATCATCGTCTTCCACACTGCAAAAGAAAAAAAGAACAGCTGATGAGGTTAATTAAAGATCCTCCTTTTCTAAGAGACTAATATTTTACCTTGCTTATTTCTGACTACAGCCTTGTGTATCTCATGCTTAGAACTTAGAAGATAGGCAGATATTAGCATGCATCGATTGGGAATTTATTGGATTATGAGATTGCTTCTACAGCCCGTGTATCTTGAACTTTTCACCATGATGCTAGCATAGTATGCTAGTCATCCTTGATAAGTAATGGCTATCCTTTATATCCTTAGTATGCACTACAACTGATCCTAGGATTTGATGTCTTGTTTTATGAGGAGATGTTTAGACAGCATTAATTCGTCCGATGGGGACTAATTGATTTCCATCTGACAAGGAAATCTGCTTGATGGCTCTGCAGGTGCGCTCAACAGTTGCAGAAGCAGAGAATGCTGTTCGTGTATTCACTCAATTGTCTGCTGCTTCAGACCTCCATGTTCATGGGTTTGACAGCAAGAAAATTCAAACCCATGTTCAGTATTGCTCGCACTTGCTGGAAGCAGCAAAAGTTCACCGTGAAGCAGCTGAGCAAGAGGAGCTGCAGAACCGACAGAGATTACAAGTTGCTCGTCAGGCTGCTTTGGCAGAAGAAGCACGCCGTAAAGCTGAAGAACAGAGGAAATATCAGGTAACTATAGACTTGCAAGTTAACCATTTGCAGCAACAAAATTATTTTGGTGATGATGATTTTATATGCAACCTTTTCTAGTCAGTGATATGCATTTTTTTCTTGGCAGTTGGAGAAAAGAAAACAGGAGGAAGAGCTGAGACGCCTAAAGCAAGAAGAAGAAAAAATTCAACGTATAAAGGTAGGAGGTCTCTTGCTTTTGATTACAATGTCTATACAGATCAGATTTCTCAACGTTGTTATGTGGTGTCAAGGAAAAAATTACTCTTTGGTAATACTTTTTAGGGTGTGTCCCTATATCAGTATGGTGTCTTGAGAGATGTTTAGGATGACATGCTGATTTTGTTCTGTAATAATTAATGCCCTAGGAACAATGGAAGAGCTCCACACCTGGATCTCATAAGCGGAAAGATAGAGTGGAAGATGATGACGGGGAAGGTAAGCCCAGTGAGCGGAGAAGAAAGAAAGGCGGAAAGAGAAGAAAGAAGGACAAAAGCTCAAGGGCTCGACACTACGAGGACGATGAAGAAGAAGCTGCCACTATGGATGATCATAATGAAGTGGAAGATGAAGACGCCAACACTAATTATAACAGGGAAGATGAGATGACAAATCAAGAAGCTGAGGAACCTGTGGATGATGATGCTCATGATCTTCTCGCTGCTGCTGGGCTCGAAGATCCTGATGTTGATGATGATGAGGTAATACATAAACTGCAATCCAAATCATGGAACTACACAAACGCAAAAGACAATGTTTTCAAACTATGTCTTTTTTGGTGGGCACAGGTACCTGCTTCGGGTGTAAGACGAAGAAGGGCGCCATCATCATCAGATGAAGAAGGTGAATTGATGGAGGAGAGTCAGCCAAATTCAAACCCCCAGAGAGAGAAAGAAGAGAGCAATGGGGATGGAGAAGATGCTAACGTCGAAGAAGAGGAAGAGGAAGAGGCTAATTGAAATCTTTCATACATATGAATAGATCTCTCTTGTGTGTTTGTAACTTTAGTGACAAAGATTCCATTGATTCAATTTTTCTAGAAGTCAGAGTGTGAGGACAAATTTCATTCACAGGCCAAGGATAATCAGTTTCAACTTTGGGTTATTTGGATTGAGCCTTGTTTTTATTTGCTATTGTTAATGGAAAAGTAATCTTTTTTCTTTTGGTTACAACAGCTTGACACATAGTGAATGTAATAGAGAGATGAAATATAAAAGCAAAATAGTTTAACTAAAAAATAAATAAAGAAATAAAAATACAGAAGAGTGTTGTCAGAAGGAAGTGGAAGAGTCAGAAACGTGGGTGTGTGTGGTCTTGAAGGATTTGGTACTGTTTCTGCAGTTTCTTCTGTTCCCTTTTACTTTAAATTTTTGTGTTTTAGGTTTCATGTTTGCTCTCTCTCTGTAGGATCTCTTTCAACTTTTCAGAACATTTTGACTACAATTATTTTATAAGCAACAAAATTACAACACAAAGTATAATTTGCTTTGTGTCATGTGTGTGTGTGAGTGAGAGAGAGAGATTGCAAAATCTAAAGAAGTAATAATAATAATAATTCAGTTTGATGAGAATGAGAAGTCGTCTTTCTCTCTCACTGAGTCAGAGCAGAAAGCTTTTTGATTGGGTGTGTGGCTTTTTCAGACCTGACCAAACTCAGTCAGGGAACAGAACTCAACTCAACTCAATTGCAAAACCTGTCTTTTTTTCTCTTTTCTTATTTTCTTTATCATTTTTTCTTTATTTTTCATTTATCTTTTTAACACATTTAAGAAAAAGATATTTACTGTTTTAACCAAAACAAAAGAAACCATTTACTATCCACAGTAAATAGGTTTATTGAACACGTTTCTGACGAAAATCTATCTTATCTATCAAGAATAATTTATGATAGAAACATGAATTGATAACTTAGTTAATATTAGTGACATCTCACATCAGTATAGATAATTTTAGTTAGCAACAGAACTATTAACAACAAAAGTTTTTATCGCTATTCACAGCTTTCTTTAGACAAGCATTAGTTTTTTGGACAAGAGATGAACATGAACAATTTAAACATTAAAATTTGTGATGCTAATATAATGCATGGAACACAGATTAAAAAATCCTAATTAATTAAACAAAAAAAAATAAGTGAGAGAATTTGCTTGCATTACCAACTTACCAAGAAACAGAAGGTTACAAACAAAAGATGATCAAATAAAGAGTGAAGTAGAAACAGAAGACTTAGAAGAAGGCCATTCATCAAGAAACCTATAAAACCTCTTGCTACCTTGCTCTTGTTCATCATCATCTCTTTGTTTCAGCTTCTCCTCAAGCATCAATGGCCTCTCACAAGTCCCCAAGTCAGTACCAAGGATGAAGCAATGTCGATCCGGGTTCTTCTCCTCGTTAGAAAAGTTGTTGATGCCCCTACATGAGCCATCATCATTATCTTCCATTGCTGAGCCAGAGCAGCTTTTGATTGACCCGGAAGGTTCTATGGAGAAGAAATCATCCATGTATCCACTTCTCCTTCTTCTACTTAAACTTAAAAATGTTTTAAAGATAAAAAAGAGTTAATCTTTGTGTTGTCATTAGAACAAAACAGAGGAGGAAAGTGTGTTTAAAACCTGGAAGAAGATAGGGAAGAGTCGAGAAAGAGATTTGGTGTGAATTGAGTAGGAGGAGGAAGAGGAAGAGGCTTTCTTGAGGAAGAACGGTTCTTGCCTCTATGCATATGCCTCTCACAGTACTTAGAGTCAGGATAAGCTTCTTTGGAGCATCTCCATTTCTTGCCATCAGTTCTTCTACATCTTCCTGGCTCTGCATCTATCTTTCTTCCCATTCCCATCTCATACACATTCCACCCAACTGCAAAAGTCAAATTCTTTTACTTCATCACCAAACCCTAAAGATAACCATCATAGAGCTCAAAGCAAAGAAGATAAAGTTTGCTTACAGTGTGGAGAAAGAGTGGGAGAGAAGAAGCTTGAAGAGGAAGAGGAAGAAGAAGAAGAGAAGAGAAAGGGTCTTTTGATGAGGAAGAGAAGATGAGGTGGAACTGGAACATTTGAGGCTAAGTACTTGAACACAAGAGCTTGGTTTTCAAGCTCTTCCCATTGTGATTCTGTGAATGGAATCCTAGTAGCCATGAAGAGAGAAAGAGAGAGAGAAGAGAGAGATGAAGAAGAAGAAGAAGAAGAAGAAAGATTAAAGATTGGGATTGTATTGGAAAATTGAAAGTGTAAGAGAGTAGTAGGTATGTTTTTATTGATAAAGTGTCCATTGGTCACCTGCAGTCTGCAGAATCTCTGTGCTTCATGTCCTCTTCTTGTTTATTATTCCTTTTTCTTCTTTTTTTAAATTTTCTTTTGAGCTTTAGTTTTGGTTTTATCTTAAGCACCATTTCAGGTTTTTTCTTTCTTAAAAGCTAGATTTTGTGACAAGGGGCATAGATAACTTATGTTTAATTTATTATGTTATTATATTCAGAAGTTTGTAACTTTCGTTTTTGTTTAGAAAAACTTTTTATTGAAAAACGAGAAAAATTGGTAACCGAAAAGAGAATCTAACAAGTCATGAAACTAAGCGGCAAAAAAGTGTACAAGATATAAAACTAAGTAGAAATCAGCTCTTGATATCGTTTTTGTTTAATAACTTAGATCTCAAACTTTATAATATAGGTGTTTAATAACATGTAAGCATATTGCAACTATTACAAAGATTATTATAAAGGAGTAACCAAACAATCCTAGGCCTAGGCCTGGGCATTCGGTTGGTTCGGGTTATACGGGTCTGTTTAATCGAATTTTCGGTTTATTCGGGTTAATAGAAATGCCACCAAATTAAACCGAATAAAATTTCGGTTCGAATCGATTCAGATGTCGGTTTATTTAGTTCGGTTTCATGGTTCAAAATCAATTCTCAATTGAACCAATTTTCTATTTATTTCAGTTAATTCGGTTCGTTTTTCCGGTTTAGTTGTTGAATATAAACTTTTTTACATTATCAAAAATCTAAGCCCAATACAAATTTAATAAACATTCTCTTGATGTATTCATTATAGTATTAGAAAATAAAATTAAAGAAGCCAAATTGTAATAAGTTTATAAATGATTTATACCAAATCACTATTGTTGTGTTTCAATTAATGAAACCATATCGTGTAATGTAACTAGACATCTTTGGTTAGAAAGACGACTCGTAGTAGTACTCGTAGCTCCAACACATCGACAGTTATAAAATTAAGTGTACACTGTCCACTTGTGTTAAAACACTATACATGAATAATAAATTGTTTTGAATAAAAAATATTTATGAGAAAATTATAAGAAAAAAGTTTGAGAGAGAGGGAAAATAATGAGTGAGTCTGCAAACTCTGAAAACTTCTGCACTCTCTGCGACTCTTCCCTTTCACAGCTCTCACTCACTCCCATACACACCCATCACTCATGCCACATCTCTTTCTCTCTCTCTTATTTTTGTTTTGTTTTGAATTTTTCTAAATTACTTTCTACTATTTCTCAAAAGAAAAAAATATGATTATTTTACTTATCAATGTTTAACTTTGTTCATGCATATGTAAATAATTCATTTGGACTCGGCCATGAAATGAAGTTAGACCCAATGCATTAACAGATGGTGGGGTTTGTGAAAAAACCTGAGAAACTTACTTACCTCCATAAAAACATTTCTTTAGGTATACTAAAAATAAACCTAAATAGATCATATATATCATGTTTTTCTATTCAAAAATAACCAGATTTAAGGTCGATAAAAACTATATTTGAGACGTAACGATTTAAAAATATTTGGGCAATTTTTTGAAAGATTAGAAAAGATTAGGTCAAAGTTATAAATAAAAAAAAGTTATTTAATATGGCGTTATTAGAGAGGAGAGAACAATTACGAAAACTTAACTTTGATGAGCAAGAGAATCAAAGAAGAAGAAGATATGAAATTATCTACGGCAAAACAAATAATGGAATGTAAATAAATATTGATTTTGTCCTATATTTTTTCCAAATTGTTTTTAGAAAGAAATCAATTTAATTTTGAATTTTTTTAATAGTTTAGTAAGATTTTAAAAGACTGAGGGCATATTGGGATTTTAATTATATGAAATCATATATGACCAATATTAAAGTATATATGACCAAACATGAATATATAATGCATAGATGAACAATAATTTAATTATTTGTCTTTTATTTCCAATTTTCCCTAATTATAATTAAAGTTAACAACATCTGAATCTTTGTCTTCAATTCTCTTTTATATACGAGAGTGATGGATTCCCATGTAAGGATTATTCAATATTAGATGATTACCCACGCTACGCGTGGGTTTGTTTTGAAAATTGTTAAAAAATAATTATGTTGAATGTTCTTATTGCTAATTTATGTTTTTTGTTTGTTTGTTATCGCGTAGTTAATAAAATTAGATCCATCTTATGTAGTTACAATTTTTGTGGTTACATTTATTTTTGACCCGAAATATCAATTTATGCATTTTCATGTATAAATTTGATTATTTATATATCTAAGATCCTAATATTTTTCATTATCATGACTACATACAATAATAATATAGGATATTTTGATACAGTAATATATAATTATGTTACTTGTCTGGTTTGAAACTTCTCTAACTTAATTATAAATAAAAAAAATTCATTGCTCTATTAACTCTCCTGATCTAGTACCCCGACCACATCATAATAAGCTCATGATTAAATACTGGATTGACATAATTTGAACAAGATCCGAAGAGTTTTCATATGAAAAGAAAAAAAAAGAAAGCAAAAAATTAAAGAGTCATTTATCATCACTTTTAGATATTCTACTATTGCATATAGCCACATAAAATATATAGTTGTGTCTTGAATTCTTTAGTATGTCTAACATCTCAAAGATTTACGGTAAAATTATTAAACTAATAATTTATTTTAGTTTGTCTAACAACACATATTTATTTTTAGTTATTAGTCACCATTGATAAAAAGAAAAAAAATTAGTAAAATAAGAAGAGTAAAATGAAGAACTTTATAATTTTATAATATTAACATAATTTTATAATTTTTATATTTTGAAGAAATAAGTTAAGAGTAGGATTTAAGAGGATTTAATGCAATAAAGAACTTTTATTTTTTTCATTTAATTTTGCAAATTTTTTTTTATTTAAATAATATAAAATGACACATGTCATTTGCTTGTGTGATAATGTGGCATTCATATGGAGAGAGTCGGCCAACTTTCATATATATATATGAGATTGATCGGAAGCAAGACATAAGAACACTAAAAGCTTTAAAGATATTACTTTTTTAATTTTCGCCGATTACTTTTTAATTTTCAAAAAGGAACACAAACACACTGTTTTATTTAGGTAATTATGATTACCTTTTTCATTCATTTATATAAGTACAAGAGGTGGAATCACTGGTTCCTACGTGATTTTTTATCATCGTATTATCAAATCCACCGGCCGAAAAGCTTGATATTTTTCTTTAAATCTATAAATTTTGTGCTAATTGTTTTTCATTTAGTTGTTGGTAATCTTGTTGAACTTTTTATTAATATATGCTATTATTGCATTTTAAATTTGAAATTTACTGGATAAAATAAAACACCAAATTATGTAGTTTGTTAAAGATTATAAAATTCATTAATAACTCATGCCAAAAGTTATATGACTATTTTTAATTAGAAAAATTTCCATTTTCAATATATGAAGGAATGAATGGTATTTCATTAAATATAAAGAAATATTATTCATTCTTTCTTTTTTTTTGGCATCATGCATTTCGTTTTTGAAATTATTTTTTTTTTAGGAATGAATGCATGTACTTCTTTAAAATTTTCTTCGTAGTTGTTTTTAGATTAAAATACATATACATTTAAGTGTTGATAGATATAAGTCGCTAGAATAGTAAATCTAATGATTTAATATATGTTACAAATTACACTTGCCTCAAACCAAGTTAAATTATAGTTTATATATATAAAGATATTCTTTGACAAAAAAATAATATATATAAAGATGTATATAAATTCTTAAAATGTGTGCATTATATATTTTGAAACCGAGGGAGTAATATGTTCTCAAGATAATAAGTAATTTTTATATATAAATCTTTTAGCTATCTTAGCAATATTTATGATTTCCTAGATCCATCCACGGGCAGAAAAAAATGATCCGTGTAAATTAAATCATGTAGTAAAGTCACTTTTTCGCTGTTATACAGACCTCGTAATGGAGGACAATTATGGTTTCATATTGTTAATTCCACATCGAACTTCCTCTTATGCCAATAATTCACTTCCTCATCTTCCATTATATTACAATGCTCTTATCTACTCTTATGTATGTTTGATATGACTTCAATATTTGAGGGAATTTTTTATGGGATTGTAACTTTGGATTAGTTATTGATGGATCTTGGTTAAGTTGTTTAAAAAGTATGGACATGAATACTTTTTTGCAGATTTGATTTTTCACAATATTCATTTAATTAGATCACAACATTTTGATTATCGGAATCCAGTTTCCAGTTTTTTTTTTTTGTCATCCGAAATTAATTAGAGTTCAAAATTAATCCAGTTTCCAGTTTCCAAATTAAAATTTATAGTTTAGAATTTTTTTCATAAATATTGTTGTTCTTTTTTCTTATATCCCTTTAACATATATTGCTTGGCATGATGTCTTATCCCTAACTTACTTACATGGGTTCTTGAAACAAACTTACAAACATAGCCATCCATCTGAATCACACCATAGGTCTAATGTAATTGTTTCTTTGTTATTTTTTCTAATAGTCTTTTAGGATATCTAATGTAATAGATACAATTTTAAACCAAAATTCACCGTAGTAAATTGTAATACTGCATTACAAATAAATTATCTTTGTAACTAATATCAGCCTCTGTGATATGGTTGCTTCTTTCGAAATTAAATTACATGTAACAGAAAAGTAAGTCAAGGAAGTTAAATTTGTGACCAAAGAAAAAAATAAAAGTTAGAAGCAAAAAAAAAAAACGAATCGAATTAATATCATTTACTTTCTTTCAGTGTGATGGTTGTTGTAACAACTCTTAAATGTGCACTGGATAGTTTGGGACTTAGATATTTAATTAGGTTGTTACCAAATTAAAAGAGTCAAAGATTCAGTTTTAATTAAGGTATATATTTGTGTAGTCAACCTAA